GTCACCACTTTTGGTGGTGACATAATAAAAAAAAATCAACCAAAATCTAACTGTCACTCTTTAATGTCTGTTGCCCAATTACTTAATGCCAAATACAATGTCATTACTATCAAAATGTACCTATTAACCTTTGGAAAACATACAATCTGCCAGTCATGCATTGCATGCAACCAAATCATGATTTTAGGAACTGATTGTTAATAGTCATATAAACATTTGAGATGCCTACATAACCATCATTAATCAACAATGAAAAAATCTACTTTGAAATATTATTCCCTAACTTAGGCATTATTACGGGTTTATTATGGTTCCGTTTGCATGTTATTCTGCTACTACATGTATTATCAGATCCTAGTGGCCAATCTGTCTGAAAAGTCACTGGAATATTATATTCTCTCTATTAATTAATCATGGGGTATATCCCTACTCTACATTGCTTGTGGGAGTTAAAGAATGCATATTGTTGGATTAAATATGTAATCAAGTTCATGAGAAATTAGCCTTGCCCAAGTCGGTCTCTTTTACATATCTTGGTTTCAAGATCAGATAAGTAAAAAAATACTGACTTGGGCAAGACTAATGAGAAATGGATAAGGACAATACTGATTCAGATCACAAAGCTATAGTTAACTGATTAAGAAACATTATGCCATGGATATCTATGTTTACAGTGCTATTGTATACACTATACAATTAAATTGATATCAGATAGAAAGCTCTTGAATTGGTAATTCTGGGCCACACTACACAAGTTATCTTTGTATTAGTGTTACATTTATATAAAAATTCTTAACTTTAATTGATATCGTCATTATAATATACACAATACATTAACATGCAAAATTTCACCACCTGTCATTTGTCACAGACCCTGAACACCATCCACAAGAAAGTTGGAGACCAACACAATATGTCACCACATATGGTGGTGACATGAAATAGGAATCATCATTCAATTGTGGATACATCTTACAATTCAGCAACATTACAGTTCAAACTTGACAGAGGGAGACTGGGGCATTTCATCATTATCATATGAAAATAAAATTCACTCCCCTCCATAAGTTTGGCAACCTTTTTCCCCCATTGAACTATGTGTTAAAGCCTCTTTACCTTTGAATTTTTATTTACTTAACCTGCGATGAAAATACTTATACTATTGATGGAAACGTAATTTGACTTTAATTCAAATACCTCCAAATTTTCTAAAAAATTTTCCTCAATTACAATAGGTCGAAAATTGATGATGAATTTTTGAAAATCGACATTCCCATGTTAACCAATGGGAAATAGTAGGTTTGCCGAAAGTCATATGACAGAATATCGATCCATCCGAGTCTCTGCAAAAAATACGAGTTAGGCAGGCAATTGAATTTGCTAACTTTATTGAACCCAAAATTGATATGTTTCTTCAGGTTCAACAAAGTTATAGGGCTTTAAAGTCGAGATTGTTTTCCAAAAGACCTCTCCCATTGAAATAACAATAACCTCTTCAAGATGGCTTCAAGATCATACCAAAAGGAAATGAATTCCAATAACTGCTTTATAAGCACAAGGACAAATATTTCCTCAACATTCTTGTTGCCATGACTCTCTCTAAATAAAGTCCTAGTATTCAGAGCATGTAAAAATATTACATGTTTTGATTTGTAATGCCTCTTGCCAATATACACGGGATACCAGAGTATCCGCGTATATTGAGTATGACCGGTTCTTAGGCTACGAATATGACCTGTTTTGGAAAGTCATGAGAGGCACAGCTGCTTAAAAATGGAAAATAAAGGTTAACTTCTATATTATCCTTTTTGAAATTGTGTTTGTTGAATATAGTTTATGCTGTATTTAATAGTAATGTAACAAAAAAATGTTAAACATGAGCTATTTTAGCAATGTAACTGTTCATAATGGAATATCAATCAGAAAGTACAGATTTCTCGCCTTAGAGCCAAATCATTAATATCACAGTAGAAAAAAACAAATCCCAAACCTTTTTATGGCTAACCTGAACAAGATCTCCAAATCTCAGTTTATATGATCCCCCGTAGAGTGAGCAAGAGAAGGATTTATCTTTTCCCAGAGGATACGCTTGTGAAATGTCATGGAAACGAGTGTAACACGGCCCACTGATTGATGTGATCGGAATGTTACCGGTGTAGAATACGAGTGTATGCGGTGCATGATAGGAATTTATCCGAATGTGAGCGGTGTAGAATACGAGTGTATGCGGTGCATGAGACGAATTTATCCGGTACAGGATTTCAGCATACCCAACAATTCTCCAATGTTTATATTTTCAAATACATGATAAACTTTTCTTTCCATACATTGTAATGTATTGGTATAAAACCTGTCTTATTATATTACTGAAATTCGATAAGAAATGTTCTAAAAGCATATTTTGCCATTACTTTCGCCAACATTCTGAAATCGGGTCAACTGATTTAACCACAAATCTACAAAAGGTCTGAAATGGGACAACATAATTATAATCAAACAAGGCTATTGTTTTCGGTCTACGTTTAACTGAATTCTTTTGGAAAAAATAGGCTCTTGACACTATAAGTCATCTACTCTTATTTAGTTCTTCCCACGTTATATTGGAGACCTACTGCAAGCGTCTGAAGAGCCTCAACATTCTGGTATTTCGAATTACCTTTTGCATCTGTCACCGCTAAAAGTCGTATCCAAACACCGGTTAAATGCCGATCCAAGACATTTCACAACCGTATTCTCCAATAATGGGGCACCAGTGACATTCGTATTCTCAAAAATTCAAAGATGTATCATATTTGGACAGAGTAGGCTAAATTATTTAAAATATTCATGACTAATTCGTAGATCTAGCTACATATTATACATAAGATGTGTCATCCTCTTCGGAGTTGCGTTGTGTTACACAAAAACTGATCAAAGATGCTGGAAACTAGGATTTTACGGCTTCAATCTAATATTAATACGTTTTCTGTTGATTAAGGACCCTTGTGATATGCCTGGCATTATAAGTATACCAAGTATCATTCATTGACCAAGTAGGATAAAAAGAAAACGTTCGAAAGTGTTCATAAAAAGCAAGTACTCACCTCGTCTGTTTATTGGAACAGAAATACGGTCACACTCGTAAGCTTAGAACCGGTCATACTCAATATACGCGGATACTCTGGTATCCCGTGAATATAGGGATTCGACATACATGAAGATTGATTTTATTCATCAACATCAAAAGTCATGTTTCCAGAATAAAATGTGTACTTCACCGTCAAAATATTTACACAGCAGATTTCATCCCCTATGAAGAGATTGAATCATTTTAGCAACATGAATTAAATCAATGAATACCCAGTCAAGTGTCTAAGGAGAACTTTGTAAATACTGACAACTTGGAATAAAAAGGAAAAATCAATGTTCATTTAGAAAATCAAATATTAACACAATGCTTTAACTTATCAGGTTAATGGGAACCTTTTGATGAAGAGGTATTAGCTTATTAGGAATTCATTCACCAATAATGTAAAAATGCTTTAAATATACACAAGCTGAATAAAAAATGTATTAAGTAAAAGTGGCAGCAAAGAGTATATAAAGCGCTGGATCTTCTTGTGGAAGAGTATTCCAATGTTTCCCTTTCAACATTTATTTTATTACCTGGAAAAAGGACTGAAATACTGACTGATATTATAGGGGAATAATTAAAGATTTAAGATCCAGGCATGTCCAAATTCATTGAAATTGAAATAGGGGATGTAAACCTTAATTTTCAAAATTTTTGCCAAATAATCTTATAAGTCAAAACATTACAATCATACTCTGAAGTCAGAATTGTTTGATCTTTTAGAAAAGAATGTTGTTAAATGTGGAGAATATTTAAAAGTTACTCTCGATCAGCTCATCTTTAGTATATGTTGCAACTTTCTTTCAGTTGTTTTGGGTCGTAGGGAGGGGTATTAATAGTGATGGCTCCTCGTGTCTAAAATAAATCCGATTTCAAGTTCAAGTATTGATATAGTGGGAAAACGTGACCAATTACACAGTCTCAGCATACAGATTATAAACCTGTATCAATCAATACCTTCCCTCTTGGTCGCATAAGGCAATTATTTATGCTTGCACATATGGATTTGGAATACGGGGTTTGGTATTTCGCCTACAGTGAATTCCATTAAAATATTGAATGATAAAATCAATTTCCAAAAATATATAAAGAATACTGTAAAATATTTAATGCAATGTCACCTTAATTGATTGAGTGCGAACTAAGCGTTCTACTTTATACGGAAATTATGTATCAATGAGAATCAAGTACTGATGCCACATGTAATTAAAGGGGTCTTAATTTTGAGTACAAACAGGTTTAGTTATCCAATAACTGATGTGCAATTAGGGCAAGGGTGTATCAAGGGCATTCTGACAATGCACTATACTATATCTAGTGGTAATTGTCTTTATCCTATGCCAAGTAGATTTTTAGGGAGATAAGTTGGTAAGATATATCCCGTATCCTGATTTTGAGGTTTCCATATCCAGAACCTCAATATCTCCTGCCATATCTCCCGCTTCGGTGCATATCTTCCCGCTTCCGGTAAGTAGTGGAAATGCAATAAAATGACTTTGCATATGAATGATTTGTTTATTTTTTACACCTTGTACTATTGAAATGACCATAGCCCCTGAAAACTCAACTTGGTATAGGATAAAGCACTTATGTATGGTCGGTTTGGATATTGGGTTCATCCCTCGTGAGATATGCACATCTACCTTCGGTCCCTATGGTCCCTCAGGTAGATGTGCTTATCTCCCTCTGGATAAACCCCATATCCAAAACCTCCCTGTACATAACCCTTATTTATGACACATTGTTCCTTTTATCTTTCACTATTGTGTCTAATATCAGATTATTTTTCTCTTAAATATGGGGTACATGCTGTTGTACCACGAGGGTGAAATGAAGTCTCTTAAAGGAGATGCCTCCTATGACTGTTAACAAATAACTGTAATCATACCTCTAAATAAGACATCTTCACTTTATAAACCATGTGGTTCTTGGTTCTCTCCATCTCCAGGAAGAGATCATTGAGGGCCAGGGCCATAATGCCAATATTGTCATCACGTCCAAGCATGGTGTACGTCTTGCCTGCTCCTACAGTTACAATGGAAGCGTTATTATAAATTAAAGTAAGACCTGTCTAAGTGGAACACCTTTGGTACCTCTAAAAAGTGTTCTTATAGAGGTTCATTTAACATTAAGTCAGACAGTCTTGGAACTCTCAAAAGTGTTCCACTAACAAAGGTGTTCCACTTTTAGTGGTGTTCCACTTTGCACGTTTAACTGTTTTTACCTTTTCAGCAGTAATTCCAAAATATAATTAGTTTAAACAAGATATTTTTATCTCACTTTTGTTCATATGTTTATTGTTTATCTTACACTTTGTGCTGTTTCATTTGAGAACCAAATATATTTTACCGTGTAATCTATCTCCACAGAATGTAAATATCTTTGAACTCTTGTGATTTGCTCTAATGACCAACATTTTTAAAGACTAAGGGATTTCTACATGTCACTCTGATATCATAATATTTGAGCATGTAGTATAAAGTTTTAGTTATTTGACTGTTTAGAGGCCTTGATGGGTAGTTTTACTCTTGAGTTATTTCTTAAAAATATTAAATAGAACATATCATGAAATTGATTTGTCTTAATATTCCTGTTGTTATATTATATATGTAAATTCGAATCAGGAATAATTATCTTCATTTTTTCTTATCTATAATTTTTAATTCCCCCTGCCCAATCATTTCATTATATCCAGACCTACCTGTAGCACCATAAGCAAACACCGTGGCATTGTATCCATTGATGACATTCTCTATGAGGCCTTTGGTAGTCTTCTCATAAACTTCAGCCTGGAAGTACAAAGTTTGACAGTTATATTTATGAATTAGGTATAGTCTTACATCAAATCCCTGGACCCCTGACCTAAATGTCAACTTCACTCTGGGGTAAGGTGTGTAGGTGTATTACATTTTTACTATTTCAGGTATAGTACATCAAATGAATGGATTGCTGAAATATGGCCAGTTGGGGTGGAACAAACATAACAACAAAAATGAAGTTTGTACTATGTTATAAGATGTATACTGTATCTAGTATTTAATTGTTCAATGACTTTATTGGTTTATGTTTATTGAATATATTTGACTCCAATGTTATCAGTTTCAGTTTGGTCATAGTCATTCATTTCAAGATCTTATAAAAAAAATATTAATGTAAAGTTCAGTGGAACCTGTTAAATGGAACACCTCTGTTAGAGGAACACTTTTCAGAGTCCTAACACCAATACACTTAATGTTAATGAACCTCTATAAGTGGAACACCTCCCATGAGTAACACTTTTTAGAGGTACAAAAGGTGTTCCACTTGAACAGGTTTTACTCTATAACTTTTTGTAACTTGTTATTGTACTTCTTGTTATTGCACTTCTTGTTATTGCACTTCTTGTTATTGCACTTCTTGTTATTGCACTACTCGCACATGGCTTGCAAAAACATTATATTTTCTGTGTTCATTGAATGATTCAGGAAACATGAATCACTTGTCATAAGGTACATGTATCCTAGCTTAAAAAGTGTCAGATAAAAATCATAATGGAAAGCTAATTCCTGCAAATTGTGACCAGCTGAGCTCCTTAATTAAAGTTGAGACAATGACTAGATTGTGACAAATATTAGAATAGAAGCAATCTTTTCATATTATTTCACCATTCAATCTGTTTTCTGAGAAAATAATTATCTGATCAAACATGAACATTAAATTGAAAAATGAAAATGAAATAAACGGGCTATAAAAGCCAGAAAAAAACAACAAAAAAACATTAAGATGCCAAATTTCCAAATCCTAGTCTTACTTGCATTACTAATTACATATCTACGGATTGATCAATATCCCATTTGCCCTTTTTGTACTTGTTGTACTTGCCATGCAGTGACACATATATTCCCTGATTCAATCATGATGGCAGTGCTATGGCAGTACATTGAACCAAAGGTTATTACTGCAATACAAAGCAAGTGTGGCATATCATGAAATATTAACGACAATAATTGTTTGGAAATGGAAATAATGCTTTCTAACTGCGTAAGTATTGTTATGTTGATGTCATAACATTGTTATATTAGAGATACCTGTAGCGTTAATAAGTCAAACTCTTTATCACCTTCTCTGACTCAGGAAGGAATACTCTATTGGAAAATAATGGAAATGAAGACTCACGCAAAGTTAATCATTAACAAATCCATGAATACCTACAGCTTAATATAATAACATTCAGCATGTAATTTTAGATTTCATTGACACAGAGGAATGTAAATCTTTAGTTTACAGAACAATAAATATACTTTTTTAATCTTCCTATACAGTATGTTTTCATTTATTTTGCTAATTATACAATTCTTTTATTGCATTCCTAATCCTATATTAATAAGTTAAGTATTACTTGAAGGTATATATCCCAATGAAATCAGTAATACTGAAAATGATTTCATAGATAAAGTATATGTACGTAACTTCTAACGAAAGTCTATGTGTTAATTAGCTTTAAGTAAACTTCCTTTCTCTAGAGTCATACGTCATGTTTGTCTATATTAAGGTACATGTAAAAGACTCACAGACAAATGTCTCACAGACGAAAATTATTTTTCATCAATAGATGTCCACATTTTCTAAATAAGGCTTATTTTGTATGAAGGGAATTTTTCAAAAACCTCTCCTTTTACTAGAACCTTTTTATGCCAAACTTTTTTAATCTACCTATTTACAGTGTGTTTTCATTTATTTTGCTGATTATACAATTCTTTTATTGTGTTAAGCTAAGTATAACTTGTAAAGTATAAAACCTAATAAAATCCTAATTTAGTAATACTGAAAATGATTTAACAGATAATGTTTATGTACATAACTTCTAATGAAAGCCTATATGTATGTGTTAATTAGCGTTAAGTAAACTTCCTTTCTCTAGGGTCATGTATGTCTGTCAATATTAAGGTACAAAGACTCACAGACAAATCGTCTCACAGACAAAAATGATTTTTCATCAATAGATGTGCACTTACACCTTTCAAAGTAAAATATTTAAAACTCATTAATGTTGAATAAAATGGTGCAGTTAATTCATCATGCTTTCTAATATATTTAATTTTCTGAAAAGAATGTTCTCTACCACAGAAAACATTATGCCTTTATTCTCCACAGTTATTTTTTAAAAAAATAGGCCAAGCTACAAAAGTAGGTCAACTTGCAAAAACAGGTCAAATTAAATACAATAATACTTGTATAACTCAATACAATTAACAGAATAAGGCCATCATAAAATCATTATCTTGCTATCTAAGATTTACACAGACAGGTGGGTGGAAAGGGTGAGTGATTTCATAAGTTTATGCAGCAAAACTCAGATGCTAATTATAATAGGCAGTTACCAGTTTCACCACCAGGTGACTCGTTTGGGTCAAATGGCATGGCTGGTATAGTAGAAAGTTCCCTTTAACTAAATATTCCTCTGTTTTAGTGGTTCTAATTTTCTAATAGTAATGCAAATTAAAATATGTCCAGTAAAAGAAAATGTTATCTGTCCAATACAAGAAAAGATATTTCACTTTTTGTGATTTTATAGCATGGGGACTATGGGCAATCACCCCGAACTAGAAATCACATTTTCAAAAAAAATTAAATTTTCAAAGTTGATAAATAATTTATAAAATGATATTTCTAGTTGTACTTTGACTGAATTTGGAATATTTAATGACTTAAATCAAGATTATTTCTACTCGCATCTAGTCTATTTAAGCCCCTACCTGGGAAGGGGTGGGTTCCAGGCTCAATATCCCCAGCTTTCTAAAAATTAGTATTCATCAATTTTTCGGAATGAGTTTATTTTAACATGTACCTGTGTCGTATTTGGACCAAATGCATAATCGAAGACATATCTCTTCTCCCTGGTTCTGTTTGCTCTGAGTATATCATCAGGATCCTCAGTAGGGTCTAGCAGCACAACCATCTACAACAGGACAATGGAACTACATTGTTATTAAAACTAAAAATATTAATGCATCTCTAACGTTAAATTTCCAAGGTGAACATAAACATTATATGAATCCTAAATTTGACCAAACTGAAAATGTTTTGTCATCTTTTACTGGCCTAGATATTTGGTTATAGTGACAGAATTGGAAGAAATATTTCTTGAATATATAATTGGTATAGTTTGTTATACACCCCAGTCATAAAAATTACTTAAAAGTAAAATAAATATTATTGTGTAATTAAAATGTTAATAGTGTATATTAAAATGTTAATGACATAATTATATTTCTCAATCAAGCCTAAAGTAAAAATATATTTAGATGCCCATGTTAATAGATATAGGAGAATACAAAAGGACGTATCCAAAACAGAATGAAAGAGATTTTAACTAAAGTAAGTTAGAAAAAATCATAGGTCGCTGGCTTTTTTTTAATTAAGACCCGATATTACTTATTGGGGAAGTATATCATAATGAAGATAAGACCTGATACAGTAGTATTGTTATATCTTACATTATTTTCAACCTCATATGCAATGGTGCCTGCACCCAGAAGCTTCTCCTGGTCATTGTGAGGTCTGATCCTAACAGCAACCTACAAGTATGATAGCACTTAGTCAAGCACACTATACAAGTATAGTTTTTGTAAGTAAATAAATACACATGGTTTATATTATGTTTCTTTGAACTCACATGGTTTGCTCCTTTGATCACAATGCATGATCAATATGTAATATGGATGTTGTGTGATTTCTACATGTTTTTCTCTCTGTGTATTAATGTAATAAAATTGCAAATGGAAAAGTGCATAGAAATTTTTAAGATTTAGATTTTACACACTAAAAGCCAAATGTACATAACTTCTAAACCCTAAAATCAACCTTTAGAATTTTGCACTTTTAATGTTTCCCTTTGTAGTTTAATTTACAAGTGCATTTAAATACAGTAAAACCTGTGTTCCACTTACAGAGGTGTTCCACCAACAGAGGTTCATTTAACATTAAGTCAATTGGTCTTAGGACTCTGAAAAGTGTTCCACTTACAGAGGTGTTCCACCAACAGAGGTTCATTTAACATTAAGTCAATTGGTCTTAGCACTCTGAAAAGTGTTCCACTTACAGAGGTGTTTCACTAAGAGGTTCATTAACATTAAGTCAATTGGTCTTAGGAGTCTTAAAAGTGTTCTACTTAAAGAGGTGTTCCATTATAGAGGTTCATTTAACATTAAATCAGTTGGTCTTGGGACTCTGAAGTGTTCCACTAACAGAGGTGTTCCACTTCAAAAACCTCTCCTTTTACGAGAACCTTTTTAAGACAAACTGTAATAAAGGAGAGTAGAGAATTGAAATATAATATGGGGCATATATATGTCATTATATATTTCGTATTAAGGGATTTTTTCAAAAACCTCTCCTTTTACTAGAACCTTTTTAAGACAAACTGTAATAAAGGAGCATAGAGAATTGAAATATAATATGGGGCATATATATGTCATTATATATGTTAGAAACATATTGTAAATAAATGATGTCTTCTAGGTGGACTTTGGAATTTTATTTATTTATACGAGTTGATACTATAATAATTATTAATCAATATACATATATACATGTGATAAGTACTTATTAAGTGCATTAAAGAATAATAAAATGTAGCATTTGTGTAACATAGGTGTTATCATTGACATTAAGATCTCATAATCCATTTAAAGTAATATCAAAGACACAGTAATATTTATATGTAATTAATGACTTGATTGTATTAAATTCAATTGAAATATCAGTTTCTCATCACCCATTATAATTCTTATACTCATCATATCATTTTCAAACTAGCAATATAAAAGAAATTGGCAGAAGGCAGCTCTCACGATTGATGAATATACAGTTAAACCTGCCTTAGTGGAACAAGGAACATCTTTGTTACCTCTAAAAAGTGTTCTACTTGGGAGGTGTTTCACTTATACAGGTTCATTTAACAGTAAGTCAGTTGGTCTTGGACCTCTGAAAAGTGTTCCACTAACGAAGGTGTTCCACCGAGAGGTGTCCCACTAACAGGTTTCACTGTAGTTATAACGTGTCACCCCCCCTCATGGAACAATGAATGATGCAGTTTATAAAAGAAAAACTTACAGTTAGATTCTGTTCTGTTCCTTTCATACTAGTAAGGAATAGTAAATGTTGACTTGCCAACTACCTGCCATCGCATTGTTCTAAAATATACGTCTCATCTTATATTCAAGACCTATTATACCATGTGTATTTGGACGTCCATTACTATATTCGTATCTCCATTATAAACAAAAACATTGAGACTTCGATTAGAAACAGACACTTCATTCATTTAGCCCATTTTAGAGCCAGCGTGCCAGTTTGTTGATATTTCATTCCGATGTTGTGCTCATATTTTCACAGGTAACATATTAGCGATCACGGTTGTCATTCCTGAATCATTCTGATTTACCTGAAATAAAATTAAGACTGTATTTATTCTATCAGAGAAAACGCCAATCAATACAATCCAGCCTCGTTTTCAAATTGGCCTCTTACCAAGATAAGCAGACGATATTGATTGCTCACATTATCATTTCATAATTAGGCCTAGTTATCCGATCCACTCGGATGAAAAAATAAAGTAATATTTTGGATTTATTGAGTACGGTACAAAGTAGGATTTCAACTGTATTTTCATCACCCCAACCTTCTAGAAAGGAAGGTGATAGACACACATAACTTGTTATTATTTAATCAAGTTATGTTATTTTATTACCATAGTTACAGACCATCTCCCACATAGCTTTAAATTAAAAGATATTACCTGTTTATCGCTTTCATTAATTAACACGATCTGTAGGCGACCCGGGTAGGCGACTCTGGAACAAGTAACAAACAAAAACAAGTCACCGGTAGAATCGGGAACATCGTCGCAATCTTTTGTTTTAACTGAACTGACATTTGTTTTTAATATTTGATCTGAGGTAACTGCATTTACATGCATGCTGACTAAGTCTTTCTAATCATTTGATTTTTTATTTCAGTTAATGTGTCACAATGTTTTTCTATTAATTATGTTCAATGTAGGCATTTTTCCTCGCCTAGTAACGATAACGACTAGTATGAATCTTCAAAAAGGCTGCAGACAATCTTATAATACATATTTTCAGGAAAAATGAATGCAATTTTGTCAAATAAATATTCCTTCTTACTTTTTACAATGAGATCAATTGTTCCTCTCGTTGAATGTATGTAATACACATTTTTCTGAACAACCTCATGATCGTTTATCAGATGCAGTACCGTGCAATGTATGCTTACACGATGAACGTCACAGATTCAACGAACTGTAAATGGAAACATTTTCATTACTTTATTTTAAAGAAAATGAACACTTTTTAATTGACAAATCCTCTTATTTTTTGTTAAAAAAGGAATGACTTTGAAACTTATAAAAATTACAGGCAACGTTTGTGTTTAAACACAGGCCAAATATTTGGAAAATATTCCTGATAGTTACAGCAAACTACGGAATGGATGAAGCTATCCGTAGAAATCTTTTTATTTGTCGCTAGAAAGTGCTTTTTCCAAATATTTTTCAATGTTTTTGGCCATTTTGCAAATTCAGAAACGGAGACAATGAAGATTTCATCACAACTGATAAAGACAGTCCTAAATGAAAAATAAGTTGTATTTTTGTGTCCACCTTTATTTTGATAATCGTGGATTTAACTGAATTCGGGTACTCCTCGTGCCAGTGCTTACATCATAATATAACGATTACCGATATCCCTTAAGCATGTAATAAAAGAGTTCAGATCCAATGTACCCCTCTTAGCAGTTTAGCACTCAAGAACCTTGTTAAACCTAAATGCGCTCTTTGTCATACGTTTGTTTCCGGCCTCAAAACTGACATGAGCAATCAATTGAAGATAACCCGAACTGTGAAAAAACTATTTGTCTCCAAGAGATGGCTAAGTATGATTGCACTGAACGAATCGCTCGGAGATTGGCATTCAATATCTGATGATATACTGGATAGATTGACATTGTAATGGACGGATGCATTCAGTTGTTTCTATTTTCTTGTTTAGTTGTTTCAAGATTGTCTTGGCAATGATGGCGAAAATAATTACTATCTGCGGACCTGAATATCTATTTCTCCAGGACTTAAATAGATGTCATGACTAACTCATCTGCCTACTTGTAACTTGTACGTACGACATCAATGTTGAAAGTGAATGCCATCTATTTAACATATATGATTAAAACTCTCTTCTCCTAGTGTCAAATATTTATCAACCAGTCAATCATCACACATCACACCGGGAGTCAGTACCCCACTGGCGGATCTGGGGGCCTGGGGGTCTGGGACATCCCCCCCTTGGGTGAGCCCAGAAAAAATTGGGCCCATGGACATCAAAATTTGGGCCCACTTTGGGGTTTTAGGGGCCTTTTTTCTCTGACCTGGAATTTGCCCCCCCCCTTGTTGGTTCCCAGATCCGTTCCTGGTACTCCCCCTATACTTAAAGACTAATATTATATTGATCTATTCCTATCTATTCCTATCAAGGACTTTCAAGAATTTCGCACCCTTTGAAAGCTGAATATCACGATATTCTACAGATCTCAATGAAGGAAATGTTTTAGGAAATAAGATAAAACAACACAATTACAATACAATACAACATAACATGGGGATGTGTATTGTTGGGGGTGGGCGGCATGGGCTTGTAGATCAGTTATAACATAATATAACGCATGGCCGATGGCTTAGAGTGTGTTAAATACCTATAAACACTATAAAAGTATAAATATCTTCACGGCGTGGAAACATCGGGAGTCAGTAACAACCCTCCCCCCCTCCCCCCTTCCCCCCTCCCCCCTCCCCCTATACTTATAGCAGAGACAAAACATATATTGATCCATCAATTTCTAGCAAGAACTTTCAAGAATTTCGCTTCGCACAGTTTTTTCACTTAAAAGTGTACAGTGGCTACATCAATTATTCTTCTGTTTCATTTTGTTGAGGCCAGTTCTGATCCAAAATTATTCAAAATAGTCCCTTTACTGCGTACTGAACGGACTGCTCTGAAATTGTCAAATACCTTCAGTTTAATTAAGATTGGAACCAGCAACGTATGGTGGTATGGAACGTATTCCGAGCGTTCGGTTACAGACGTTTGTTAATGTTAACGCCTAGCTGTGTTATTTAACGTTCAAACATAAAATGCGGGGCATAACAAGTACAAGTGATGAAGACATCTTGTCTTCACCCAAGCCATAACTGCATGGATGCCCTGGATTTATTGTTGGCATCTAACGTTCAAGTGTATATTTTAAATCTATTTACTGCTTAACCATTAACTTGCAAATGTCAATCAAAACGTGTGTATATAGAAACCGGTGTCAATGATCTCGTCTTTGTTAACTTACCTAATGGCTATCTGATTCTAGGAGAACATTAGATGTAATTAACGCTAATTCAATATATAAAGTGAAAGTTATGTCTTCTATAATTCATTTGCATTAGATACCATGGTAATACAATGGATGGAGCTTCTAAATTGTTTATACACAACTCGAAACGCTGTTATTTTAATTGATCGTTAATGATGACTCTCATATTTCTGTGTTTCCATTACTATATAGTAACTTCAGAAACTATGAATGTGCGTATTATGTATATATGATAGAATGGGCGCTATTTTTCTTTTAATGTTTCTGTAATTTGATAACGCTCAAATCTGCGATTATGGATTATTTTATAAAGCAAATAAATTTTATATTTAACGAGTTCATTAATATTCGTTATGAACCAATTAGTATTTTTTCCTTTGCTTAATGTGTTTTCAAAAACGTTATTATCATTAATATATATAATATATATACTCGTTGCTTTAATTTTACCTGGTTTACAAATATGTTGTCTCGAAAAAGATTCACGACACCTAACAAATACTAAACAAATAGTGCAGTTAATTTTTTAAAGTGAAAAAATCATATATCCACATGTAAAAATGTAAGTTTGAGGAAGCTGTAACAAGGACAAGGGTCAATCTCACATAGGCCCCGGGAAAATGTATAAAAATCTAGTCGAATTCCATGACAAGTCTCATTTCATACATTGAACTCCATTTTTACACATGTTCCTGGGTCCTATGTTCACAATTCTGCACTGAATTACTCATTCATGCGCCCCCTCTCAACCAAGAGAATGGAGATGAGAGTACATAAAGAGTTCCCTCATATAATTGACTCTTCTCATCGGACATAATGATGTCAAGATCAAAAGATCATGTGACGACCGTGACCTTGCCCAACGTGACTCAGCCTAGCAGGTGTATCTCAACTACTGAATATGTACGTTTACATGTACTCGTATTTCTATTTTTCACTTACCCGTGACCAATATTGGAAAACCACCCATGGTGTCCATAGCAATATTTACACATTCAACTCGACCTTTAAGTCGTAATAACTCTCTTAAAGACATACGATTCTTCACGTACTTAACCTTAGGCTGATTTTAATTTAATTTCCAGATATGATTAGTCAATAAATATAACAAATTGCACAAAAACGTCACTAGAACAATTATTCGAAGAAATGAAGGGAGGGCTGCATTACACAGATCTTACAAAAGTCTATGGTGTGTCACTTTTTACCCCGAAGCGTGCAATTTTGCCCAGGTATACACGTCAAATTTGATCAATGAAATCCCCGGGCCATAGATCCAATTATAAATTAATAGGTTTTCATTGAATTACATTAATTACTTATGTCTGCAATTTCGGGTTATTTTACAGCGTCTGTTAGATAAGCCCTGTAAAAAATACTTTTCAGATTACTTTGATATTTCATGTGAAATATGTGACAATTCAGCGATCACAACGACCAACGCTGGCACATTACATTACTGCATTTACCAAAACCAAAAATACAAACAAAAAGAAGAACATTAACAGTTTAATATTAAGTCTTTGTGTACCCCTAATGAATAACAAAAAAGTGAATAAAAGATGGTGCGGACTGCGGACCTTTATGCAAAAGTACATAAGATAGGAGCTAACTAAAATTTAGGCATCAGTTAAGCTTTAATGTCCCTATTCTTACTGTTGAAAATGGATTCGAGCAATACTATCGCACATAATCTACTTGTTGAGACTCGATATCAACTTGAGTTCTTCCGAGACAATGAGGATTTTGAATCTATCCCCATGCTGACATAACTCCTCATTTTTGAAGTTGAAGGAATTGATACCTTGTGAATCAAGATGTGGACCGTCAAAGGATGGTAAAAACCCATTGTTGTTGTAGTGGTTCTCATTCAAAAAATGGCGAGAACATTAAAATAACGAATGAGCATCGCGAAAGCTGCGCTAGGCTGACGATCGCAAGTACAATGTAGCCATAGTCAGTGGAAATGGAAATGGCCGAATACCGTCATTGTCATTTCATTGAATAACACAGGGGGATACATCGTTCAACCAGTTGTTCCATCCCATCTCTGTTACCTGGAAAATTACATTATTG